AAATCATTTTTAAATAGAAATATAAAATGTGAATTCATAGTATTTACAATGTATGTAATTTATAAGACAGGTCATTTAATCCTAGCTCTTCAAAGCCTCAGCCATTCTCTGAAGAGAAGAAATGGTACACAGAGAGGGGAAATCCAGGATAAATGATTCAATTTAAATGACAGGAATATTCACCAACTGCCTAGTAGTGTCATGGGCTGCCCTGTGAGGTTGGGAAAGGTTGCCCAGACCTTTTTTTATTATAGTGACTTTTTATTCATAAAATTGTGACTCTGTACATATTAATCATTGAATAGACACATGACAAAAAGCTGACTTGAACTAAGCAATACCTTTAAATAACCTTTCGTTGAATTCCAACAGTTTCTACTGTTGACAGCCACAGCTGAAGGGGCCCCAGCACACTTCCAGCTGATTGGCTGACCGTGGCCCCAGCAAACTTCCAGCTGCCAGCTGATTGGCTCCTCTGTGGTGATGCTCATTGGGCTGTTTCCCTGCCCTTTCAGACCACGGAGCTGCTCATTGGGGGACTCTTTTGGCTCCGCCCATGCAACCCAGCCAATCGGCCTCAAGAGTGGGAGAAGTGGGGGTTGAGAGGCTCACAGGAAGCCTGTGATGGCAGTTGAGTTCTGAGGGAATTCCTGAAGAGCTCTTGTGGTACATCCTGTGTTCTAAAAATAAAGTTTGTTTCTGCTTGATAAGTGGCTCATGAATTGTGCCCAGCCAGACTGCAGCATTCTTCCTCCACTTGCTTAGGAAACATGTTTACTCCCTCCAAAGACAATGTTTGATGCATCTGTGGGTTTGAGGATCCTTTGTCGTCAAAAGGAGGTTCATGGTCCACAGATTAGGAAATACAGGTGTATAATAAATGCATGTGGGGAGTAAGCAAAGGTTAGACTTGATAAACTCCCCAGTCCCCAAACTACATGAATTCAGTCACTCACCTATAACACAATGATGTGCCAGACATTGTGTTATTGGGCCTTGTGGTCCAGTTGAGGGTAAATTCAAGAAAATTGCTCAGTTTTTCTCTACTTCAGCCCCTGTGTCTTTTTTCTGGGCCAGTTTGCTTCCTGCTAGTCTGTTTTTGTTTTTTTGGTTTTTTTTTTAAGCAGGGCTCTGTGAGAAAAAGTCTCTGTGACTACAACTTCCTACAAAGCCCAGGAAACAAATTTGGGAGCCTTTTGGCCTTACTGCCAACAGAACACATAGGA